TCTTGATGCATGAAATATTTTGATTTTTAAAGTTGATCAATGTTCATCATAACTACAATTGACTGACTTATGACTTCTAAGGAATACGAAAGAGCTAAGAAGTAGAAAACAAGAGCAACAAAGGAGATTTCACAAAATATACAAAGAGAAGAAAATAACAACATGAAATGTGTAAAGAGACACTTTAAACACTTGTATGACAAGCGTCTGGGACATGTCTTGTAATTTTTCAATGACATCATGTGACTGTGAACATAAATAGAATTGTGCCCTGAAATAAGAATAGACAAATTCGATTATGGGTTCTTTGTTATTTGCGAAAAAAAAGGGACAAGAGACTTCATTGTCATTTATCAATTCTTGTATTTTTTAGATGGATGAGAAATACAAAAAAAAGGACACAGGCACCTGACTTGACATGTTTTTATTCTCATCAAGTGGATCATCATCGTCATAATCATCAATTGTAGTGTTCTGCATTGTCATCATTGTTCATGTGAAATACTTAAATTTCTACCAAAGTCAAACTTGCAATTATCTTTTGAGACTGATGACGATAATGATGAGGAATAAGAAGATTGCAGAACTTAGAAGATTAAGAAGAAGAATAAAAAAAAAAGTCAACAGGTACAACAAGGTAGATGAAAAGGAGGAAAAAAGAAGAAAAATAATTAATTTTATATAAAAAGCCATTAATATTGTTGTCAGAGAAAATGTTCTGTCATAGCGCCGCTGGGTATAATTTTTTTGTTCTTCGCCTTTCCTTTTGCGTATACAAATGTTGAATTTCTTTCTTCTTTTTTTTTTGGTGTTGCTTGGCGGTTCTCTTAAGCAAAGACAATTCTTGGAATTTTATTCGATCAAGAAGTGAAAAAAATGACTCGAATTAAAATGGGAAAAATTGGATGGAATTGAAATTGAATTGAAGGACTTGATAGAAGGAAAAATTAGTCAAGTGTTGAAAATCAAATAAATTTACTAATTCGTTTTTAACAATACATGTGCTTTAAAATTGATTTTTATTTTAATATGAAATTCCAGGCAGTTATAAAAGTATTAACTCAATAATTTAAGTAAAACAGAATATTTTTATTTGAACTTAGAGACAATACGAAAGCATAGCCGGAGGATATTTTGGAGTGAAAGGGTTGATTCAAGGAGAATTTTCTTCAATTTACTGGAAAAAAGCTTCAAAACCTCCAGAAAAAAATTGGTAATTGCTAAAGTAAGCCAACAATCTTAAAAATGAATTTTGAAAAATAAAAAAAATATTTTTTTAAATCTACAAATAAAAACTTGACTAAAGGTACAACCAGCTTCAAATTTCTATTCTTTTAAAAAAGTTTTCTTCCTTTCTCATTTTGAAAAGATTTTATTTATTGAACATCAAACACAAATATTCGGTACTCTTTTTAAATTAATATTCATCCCATTTCCATTTTCAATATCCAATTTGTTAATTGCATTTTTTATCTACAAATGCGCATCTCTATCTTTGTGAGATAAAAATTCCAACTTTGACAATAGAAAAATCTAAATTAAAGATTTTTATCTGCTAATCGTTATCCTTTTTTTTTGGTTTTAATCCGATTTTTTGAGGCATAAAGTTCAGTATTTCAATTGGTCATTTTACTATTTCACAAGTCTTTGTATCCTTCTTTGATCCTATTTACTTATTACTAAATTGCTTGCAAATTTTTTCGACCACAAAAGAACAATTTTTCTGCTTCTTCTTTTGTTTGCAAATTTCTATTGTTCAAAAATTTGTATTTTGTTGCTGCAGAATTTCGGTAGCGCCATATCCGCTTTTACAGTCTCTTTACTTTTTATACATTTTTTTTTTCAATTGTTGTTCATTTTTCAATAATGTATGCATCATTGAACTGTGAGTATGAATAATGTGGAACTATGATGAATTTTTGTTTATAGTTTTGATAAACAGAAGATTGTGCTGTATTTTTGTGCATTTAGTGATAAAGCTGTTCAGTGTTTGAAGGGACTTAACCGGTGAAATGGCATCAGTGGACTAAATGGTAAAGCGTTGGTCTTCTGTGCCAAAGTTCCTGGGTTCAATCCCAGGCCATGTCTAATTTTCGAAGCTCTTTTTCCATTTCACCGTTCAAGTTACGAAGCTCGGTTCGTGTGCTGGATGTAGTTTTGAAGTCTTTGGCACAGAATGTGCCTCCTTTGCTAGGTATACAAGGATATACTAGCATCTGGATGATTTCATTACGGTATGTTGCGCACACGAATTGGAACTAGGTACATTGCAAGGTACAGTGCAGGTCTTATGACGTACTCGTGTCTTTGCAATGTGCAGAGCTTGCAAGTGGTTCGGATCCCACTATAAACTGTAGGTCTAAAGGGTGTAGTACAATAGATTCTGTTCTAATTTGAATCGTAGTGCCTCCAGCTCAAAGGCTGGGCCCTTCACACATATTATTATTGAAGGGACTTGAGAGTAGCGTTTTGGTAGCTTTCGTTCATGTGTTTGAGACTGGAAAAATATTTGTACTGGAAATGAAGCTCACAATCTTCTTTGATAGGCTAAAGACAGTGATCTTGTTGAAGAAGTGATTCAGATCCCAATTCTTCTATCAAACCCTCATTTGTCAAACTTTCATTAGGCTTGAAACATATTTTTAGCAACAAGATAGCTTTGTTTGATGTTAGATTTGATGCTAGTAAATATTTTTTTAAAAACCGGCATTTTCTTTTCAAAATTTGCAAAAATTAATCAATCTCATTACTATCAAAGCAGTAATTAATAAATGTCCATAATAACAGGAAGCAAAAACATACCGAAAAGTCCACCAACGAAGTACAAAAAGAGGAACAGCAAAAAAATCACATCCAAAAATGAGCAAAAGGAAAAAAATAACAACCGAGAAGTCATCACAAAAGCAAAGATCTAAGAGACACATAGACAAAACATATTTTTCACAAAGGGGGTAAAGCAAGTGGCAGGCAAGAGATCAAAGAGAGACCACATGCTCCCCGCTGCTCGATGACTATTTGTAGATAAACGTAAAATTGTATGGAAAAGGGACAAAAAATTTCTTCTTTTTTTTCTAATTCTATCTTTTTTTTATCATATAAATTGTGCCGAAAATTGGATGCTGACACACACTCAATGCTTGTAAACTATAAAACCAAATTATATCGCCATAAAATATTTTATCATCTCTATTTTTCATTTTTTTTCTTTGTATTTTTTTCGTGTGTATCTGCTAGACGAGAAATTTTCTACTTCTATGTCTTTTGTGCCCACTCGCTGTGCTTCATGACTTTATAATTTGATTCCTAATTTGAGCCTCCAAATGCAAGACAAAAGAAAGAATAAGCCGGCAAAGACTTGGAATTGAAGACAACTTTTCACATTTCCAATTAGTCCTTTGTAGATGGTTGATGCTGGAGGCAATGTTAACCCTTAGGAAGATATCGGAAATAATTTTAATATCGATAAGTTATTTGTTTTAAAAAGTTCGATTTGAATGCATAAAACTTTGCCTTATTATATGTTTTAGTGTTGGAAGTAGTTTGCTTAATTTACTTTTCCATCATTTTATGAAAAGCATCAAAATTCTACATTAGTTTCAAATTCTGATAGATTTACAATGCCATCTCATCTATCTTCCCAAAATCTGACAAAAATTCAACCAGGGTATAATATTTCTTGGCCATAAAAGTATTTTCTTTCCTTTTTACACATTCCCGAGCAGACATTGTCAATTTAAAAGGGTTTTGTGCCGCATTTTTCACAAATCTATAAAAGTTTTCTATTCATCGTCGAAGGCTGTAGAAATAAAGTTGTAAAAGTTTAAAATTTCAATAATTTTTTACTGTCCATACTAATGTTGTCTCTTCTATGCACATCCATTCATGTCGGCAGGACTACAAAAAAAACACAGAAAATTTGGATGTTTTCATAATTTGTTGTGAAACTTGAGAATTAGGACAAATAGTTTACGCGAAGCGACAAATTCTTAGAAAAGGACAATAAATAATAAATTTTTTACAAGTTTATTGCACTTGCTGTTTTGTGCTGATGATGGTCGATAGTCGGTGTTATTTGATGGAATTATTAGTGAGATATAATGTGGAAATTTCAGGATCACAAGGATCCGATATTGTGATGTTAAATTTAGTAACAAGTGTGAATTCTTTTTCGGCTGGTTTCATGTTCGATTGTTAAAATTTGGTTGATTAGATTTTTAAGGTAGAATTTCCAGAAAAGTAAGAATTATAAAATAAAATGTAAATGTAAATTCTATTAATTTTAAATTTTTAAGCATTAATTCGTGAACGAATAGCTCAAATATTCAATTTTATCTAGATATCTTCATTCAGGCTTTTACTTATAAAAACATTTCATTAAAAAGTTTTAGAATTTAAATTTTTCACAAATTTTCATTTTTCAAAAATTAAAAAAGTTTATTCAAATTTATTGCAAATAAATTACAGCCCATCTTGACCGATATAATGTAAACTAATGCACAGCATATAAATCAATAAATTACTTTAATTTTCTAGAATCAGAATTTGTTTTTTCAATTTGAAACAAAACATCGATTCAACACTTTAATTTATTCTCTTGAAAAAAATTCTAATATTGAAAAAAAATTCAAATTAAAAACAAAAAAAACTATTAAATTTAGGTCAACAGAAGTTCTGGATTTTTTCCTCATTCTTTCTCTTTCCATATTTTTCAATAATTATTCCTTTCGATAAGAACATAATCCAGTTTAGCTGCTTCATATCGTCTCATTGTGTAAATGTTTCTCATTATCTTTTCAACTATTTTGTATGTGTTAGTGCTTCATTCCCCTTATGTTGCTCAAATGTTGCACGCGACATGTCTGTTGCACAACAAAAAGCAGAATTTTGAGCTGAAAATTTCCCCTTCGCATCTATTTATGTCTGTGTATGTGTAAGCAGTGAGTAGTGTTGTCTTATGTTGCTACACAATTTGTCTCTCATTGCTTAATATTTTTTCTAACGAGACAGACGTGTTTTTAATTTTTTTCCTGTGCTCTGTCCAAAAAAAAGTATTTGAAAAAAAAGAGAAGAAAAAAACAAGAACAAGAATTTAAAATTTTAGAATGAACTGAGAATCAGTAAAGTCAAGTGCATCGAGGAAGCAAGAGACATTTTTTGTTGGACATAAATAAATAAGACAAAAAAAAGTTCAAAATAAAAAGAAAAAAATTTTGTGGATTTTTGTGAACTTTTTTTGAAAAATAAAATAACTTGTGAAAAAAATTAAAAATATAAAATTAGTGAAGACATATCAAGTGAATAATTTCCAAAGGTAAGTCCACTTATTTCCAATTATCTCATCCGACAAAAATTGAAAGTGCGATCAAATTTAAAAACCGTAAAAATTCAATTCTCATCGCTACTTAAAAGTATTTGCGATCTGCAAAAAAATGCTGATAGTTACAAAATTCCTAATTATTGTACAACAAACTTTTATTGGTGATTTTTATGACATTTTTTTGCTGCTCACATGAGAAAGGAAAAATAAGAGACAGTCATTTACGTTTGCAATAATCTTTTTAGAATCGCTTCTCGCTGATTAAGCTTGATGTGTTTTTCAAGCTTCTCAATATTTTTATGACCAAAATGAATGAGTTAAGAATCACTTTTATGATTTCTCGAATTTCTTGGAAGTCTGGACTGTCGTTAATTTCTTCTTTCTCTTCCACTCATAAAAATATAACGTTAAAGGATATGCGATATGCACACACGTATGATGATGCAATAACAAAGCACAAAAGAATGATAAAGACGAATTTTTTTGCACCCTCAGGCATTACATTTTATTTAAGATTCTTGCTTGCTCTCTTTTTCGTTTGTACTTCTTTTGATATTCCCATGTGGATAAATATACTTTACTTCCATATGAGGCTGTGAAAATTGTGAATAAAATTGAAGACTTTTTTGAGAGAAAAGAAGTGAAGAATTTAATGGCACTAATTACAATACCTGGAAATTATTTCATACAGTTTTTGACGTGCGATATTGAATAATTATTATTGATAAGAAGGAGGAATTTTTGAGGTATTTGCGGTTCTTTGGGGATTGTCGGTGTTTTTAAAAAGAGAATTTGAGGAAGTTTTTATTTTTAAAAGGGTTTTGTATTTTTTTGTGGTAAAGATTTGTTGGTTTTTTGTGAAAAGAAATTAATATCAATTTATTCAAATTTTTCAAAACTTAATTTTTTTAAAATTTCAAAAAATAATGTTTATTTTTAATTTTATGCAATTTTATTGCAATTTAATATTTCAAAATTTAAAAAAAAAACTTGAACAATTTTTAAATTTTGATCAAGTCTATAGAATACCCGTAATTATATTATTCATGCAACATTTATCAAAAATGATTTTAATACGACACTTTTGTATAAACAAATGTGACTAAAAATTTCCGAGAAATAATAACTTTATACTTCAAGGAGATTATTTTTAGAGTTGATCAGATTTATGACTCATAATTATACGTGATTGAAGTTTAAATGATTTTTTAAATTAATTGAAATTTGTCATGCAATTTAATTAAAATTCTAATATTTATTACTAAAGATTCAACTGATTTTCTGAATATTTAATGATTTATAACCTTAAATGCCACCCAAACATAACAATTTAAAATCAACCATCCTCAAATTCACACATTTAAACTTCAAAAAGTCTCAAATAACCAAAAGGTCCTCACAAAAATGAATCACCAAGAGACGTCCATTAAACATTCTTAAGAATTCACATAAATTAACAAAAACTGCAGAAGAAACCGTTCACAAAGCCGTCATCCTCTCAAAAATATTATGATTAGAAAATTTTATGCTTCTATGCAAAACAACCCAAACAACTTTTTTTGAAGGTCTCTCGGAACAAATACTGAAGACATTAAAGTATAGCATGTTGGTCCATAAAACATTTAACATTTTTGTTCGTTGAGTTTGGTTCCAATATTTCTTAAAATAAAAAAAAAGAGTATATGCAAGAAGGAAGACAGAATTGAAATTACAAGAAGCATAAAGTCATAAATATTATGCGCACAGAATCGAAGTAAAAGAAAAATCAACAGCAACAACAAACAACATGAAGTAATTCTCATTCTTCTAATTTTCATTTTTTTTCCTCTTCCATTTCATTTTACTTGATTTTTTGTGCTTTTTGGCAAAACGGCAAATGAACAAAGCAGCAACGAACAAGAAATGAAATAAAAAAATTTTTGAGCGCCAATGTTGTTTCTTTTTGGGAACCTTTGCATGTTAAGTGTTTTTTAATAAATTAAAATTAAGTTTCTTTCCTTCTCTCTTTTGGCCTAAAACATTTCATTTCCTCTCTCACTTTGTTCCTTTTCATTTCATGTAAATTTTCATTCAGTTACGAGAAAAATATTATTAAATTTAATTTAATTTCTTAGTTCTGCAATTTACTTCTTGAACAATAAAATTTGTTCCGTGTGTGTCAACATTGCGAATATATGCATGAGAGAGGGACGGCTATAGGCAAATGTGCTTTTTGCCGACGGAAATATTTGCATTAAGTTTTTGTTGTCAATATGATGACGGGTGCTTGCAATGTATTTAATTTTATTCATTTTCTGGGGAATTTAGTCAAGTTTGTAGCTTGATATCAGGATTGTAGAGAGTTTGACGATTACTTTTTAATTCCAAATCACCAAAAATATAAATGTTTCAAAACCTTAAATGCATTAAAGTTTCTAAACTATCCATTAATCATCCAAAGTATCCATCTTCTTCAATAAAAAAAGCAGCAAAAAATGTCACATCGCATTCCACATCACATCACAACAATACCATTCGAAATTCTTCACATCCATTGAGATTTAAAGACCACATTTTGTTATGTCGTTTCCACTCAGTTTACAATCATTGTCTTCTTCGTAATAAAAAGAATTACAAGTCTTTCTCCTCAACATGATGACGACCATAAACGCGATACAAGTTTCTTTTATTTCTTTTCTCATTCTCTTTATTTATGCCTGTTTACCCATTCCCAAAATGAAATGAACAGAACAAATTTGTTGTATTCATAATTTTTTATTTTATTTCTGGTTCTCATGTCCACATAACTTTTTGTTTTTGTTCTTGTTGGCAATAAAATGAGAGAAAAATTGTTCGTCTCGTGCCCATCGAGAAATTTGATTTCATTTCGATATTTACATGTAATTGAGTTTTGAGCACTTCCACCTGGGTGATCTATATGAAATGAAATAAATGGCTACTGCTTAAAAACATATGAAAAAATTGAGTACATAAGGAGATAAATTAAAAATGATACACTCTCAATTACTTAATGATCACTTTAAAGTTTATTAAATTGATGATTTGCTAAATTTTTCTTTTTCATCTTTTCCATTCACAGATTTCACATAGACACAGTACAATAAACTGTACGTAATTAAACGGGAAATAATCATAGACAAAAACCACGATGTCATCACAACCCCCAAATTTCCTACCATCTGACATGGAGAAGGCAGCAATGCAACATCGCCTTAACATGCAATTAAATTTACTCCAACACTTACAAATGCAATTAATGGCCGGTCTGGCACCTCCACCACCTTCATCTCCTCCATTAAATCAACCGCAAAATTTATTAGCGGCAGCTGCAGCTAGCAATAATTTGCAATCAATTATGCACCCATTTTATTCGCGTTTAAATCAGCAGTTATCACCACCGCCACATCCACATCACATACATCATCCGGCTTTTGACATGAATAATTTAAATAGTGAATTGATGAGAATGAAAAAATTGAAAACGATGGAATATGAGGCAGCTATGGTGCAACAACAGCAGACACAGAAGAAAATTGAAAATTCGAAAATTTCACACAATAATAGCAGCAATAACAATAACAACAATAATAATAGCAGCAACAACAACAATTACCCAAAAATTCATCATGACGTAACTCCTGAAAAATCGTCAGCACCGATTTTAACACCACATCACCAGCAATCACCACAACAACAGCATCAACAACAACAACAACAACCATCAGCTGATAAAGTTCGTAAGCAGCGTCAAATGAATGCATTTCCATCAAACTTGGGAACAGCATTTGTTAATCCAGCTACAGGAAAGAAGCGTATTCGATGCAATGTCTGTTTCAAGACATTCTGCGATAAGGGTGCATTAAAAATTCACTTCTCAGCCGTTCACCTTCGAGAAATGCACAAGTGCTCAGTTGAAGGTTGCACTATGATGTTCAGTTCTCGTCGTTCACGTAATCGACACAGCGCAAATCCAAATCCAAAACTCCACTCATCGAATTTACGTCGCAAAATTTCACCACACGATGGAAGAAGTTTCCAAGCTCGTACAATGTTCTTCCCACCGTCCTCTACAGTCCCATCAATGAGTTATGGCGCCGTACCACAAATGCAACATCCATCATCATCTCAATACGTCAATCAACCATCAGCATCGCCGTCAATCGATTCGATTAAATCGAGTGAATTTAATGATACGAAAAGTGTCAGTGATTTCGAGGATGATGGTGACATTTCGGTTAATGACTCAGAGATTTCATTTGCGCAACATCATAGCGGCATTAACAACAATATTAATGCAAATAGCAGTGACATCGAATCACAAACAGAACCGCATGATTATAGCGTAAAGAAGAGTTCATCGCCGTTGATTCGCGTCAAAAGTGACGAGTATTTGACGGGTAGCAAGATGGTTTTATCATTGCAACAGCAACAACAAATGCAAAATGATGACCTTTTAAATACGAGTAATAATAGCAATAATAGCAGCAACAATAGTTCAAAACGTAAAAGAAAAAGTCAAAATCCAATTAAATGCACAAATAATGCAATTGATATGCTTATGGAGTCAAAAATGATGCGCTATAATGATCCACACGAGACAATTGAGAAGTCAATAGGTGATAGTTGTAATAATGACATGGATATTGATGCTGCTCATAACGAGACGGGTGAGGCTGAAAACATGACACTTGACTTATCATCAAAGTCAAAAAACTCGAAGGCATCAACTGACGATGATGATGATATTAATAATGAGGAAGCGGCAATTGACTTACGATCTAAATCACCAAAAAACTCACAATCGAAAGATGATGAAGAAATCAATAATAATTTATTAGCTAATAAGAAAATGTTTGGACCAAAATATCCACCATTTAATTTTTTAATTAATTCCATTCTCTCGAAACCGTCAGCGACGTCAGATGGCGAAAGTGAGAGCGACGATGTCAGCTCAACAAATGAAAACGAGGATAATCGCTACTTTCAAGAGAATGGATCATTTATTAGTGTTTTTTAAGTGAATCAAAGACTTGTGTTTATTTGTGGAATATCCTCGCTTCCATTGCAAGAATTATGTCTGAAATATTCAGTTTAATGATCTTCGCATTGGATATAATTGCAATAAAAAGAAATCTCATTATCAATGATGATCGTCCAGGAAAAAAATCATCGAAAAAAAATTTCAAATTTAGGATCAAAAAAATATTTAAATTTTCTTTCGTAGTTTTAATTATATTTTATTAGAAATGAAAAAAGAATTTTCGGGAATCTCAGTTAAGTTTAAAAAAATTGAAAATAAAAAATTAATGGTAAGAGATATGTGGTAAACTTGTAATTATAAGTAAAATCATCAGACATCACAGCTCAGTTTTATTAAATTAAATTGTACATTCGTATTCGATTGCAATATTTAAATGTCTTCGATATTAATAAAATGTTTATTGAGGAAGAAAAATAAAATTACGTAAATGAAAAGAAAATTAGAATATCATAAAATATCCTATAAATATTACTATATAAATAAAATAATTATGAATTATTAAGTATAATAATTATACACACACACACACACCCTAGCTTTTAAATTAAGTATAATGGAATCAAACTATCAAAAATATCAAACTTAAGATGATAAGGAACTGTAGATGAAAAAATTTAAAATAAAAATTTAAAGAAAAATTAAAATTATTCAAAAAAAAAAATAATTGGTTTTTAATATTTAATATTTTGGAGTTTTAATTTAATGATTTCAGGAAGAAACTTACGGAATAAGTTTTTAAAAACATTTCAGGGGACTTGTATTTATCTAAAGCTGTTGTACGAAATATTTTTTTAAAAACACTTGAGCAAATTAGTTTAAAATTTGACTTTAAACTTCCTTGGTTCCTCCCTGATCGCATTCTTGTTTGGAAACCTTTTCTCGATGGGCTTCAATTCTTTGATAATCCAGGGGAAAACTACTTGATGGGTAAAAAGAGGGAAATTTTCCATCAAAAATGGTAAAAAAGTGAAAAAAGGTGAAATTCTCATTTTTACCTTTTTTACCATTTTTTCCCATTCTTCCAATTTTTACCTTTATACCATTTTTTCCATTTTTTTTAACATTTTTCCCACTTTAAGATGGGAAATTTTTCACTAAAAATGGGGAAAATGATCACAATTTTTTCCGTCCAAGGAGTTTTCTCCATGTGATAAACTTAAATTTCAAAATACAATCCGTAAGTTCTATAAATAATCTATTAAAACTTGCAGCTCCGTGTGACTTACAAATAACTCTTTTAAAGAGCCAGCGAGATTTTCAAAGTTCTCACATATTTGCAGTCAAAACAATTTTTATGTCAATTGCATACTTTTTAGAGACATGATCATTAATTTTGATAATTTTTTTCTCCCTTCAATAAGTTTTCACTCTTCATATCATAAAAAGGAGATGCATTTGCATTAGCATTTAATGAAAAAGGAGAGAGAATGAGCACAAAAAATGTTAAATCATCATCCTTGTTCGCTCTTATTAATGGAAGCATTTGCTTCAGTTTTAAATACATTTTTACATTAAAAATAATGCGAAAAGTATGAATGAAAGTCGTGATATAAAAATTTTAGTATTAGGGTTATGAATGGACGTAACGAATAATAAAAATAACAAAGAATACAAAAGAAGAGGAAAGTGAAGGGATGCATGGCTATTTAATTTAATTTTCAGAGGTTTGAAAGGATTGAAATTTTGAATTCTGTTCTTTTTGCATATAAACATTGAAAGTTGAATTTGGCTCTTCATTGAAACTTTAATTTCAGTCGTAGCTGAGTTCCTAATAAGTTACATGTCTCATTTCCCTGAAAAAAATTGCTCATCCATTTTTACTCTACAAAATTGTCATAACAGAAAAAATCGAGAGCAAAACCTTCGTATTTTTTAATTAAAATCTCTCCTACATTCTACTATTATTTCATTGAAAATAAGACAATACAGTACAAAAGCAAACAAATAATCAATGGCATTCACAACCACATAAACGAATGTGGAAAATGAAAGAAGAGTTTTGTAAGATTAATTTCAATTAAATGGTTGGAAAAAAATGCCAAAATAGAAGAAAAGAGAAGTGATTGAAAGATCAAATGGCATGAAGTGTACAATAATAGGCCCATAAGTGGTGTCGTTTGTTCGTTTCATGTTATTCATGGCCACCATCATTCATATATAATATGTACACATGTGCACATATTCAGAAATAATTGTAATAACAAATGATTTACCGTAAATCATAATCATCATTACATTATGACCATTGCCATGTTTTGTCGTTTTGCTGCTGATGATATTGCAGACATTATGTCTTGATGCACTTTTTTACTGTCTTCTTTTTCACTTTTTCTCATTTTCTTTTCCTTTAATTTTCTTTTACTCATTTTCATTTTCTACACGTATTTAAGGCTTAAGTTACATTACCTTGCTGTAAATGTAATGAAATTTTGTACTAGCTGGTTGATCGATGGTTCGGATTATCGTAATTTAAGGTGTAATTTAGTGTTATTTTGCTATGTATCCAGTATAATCAGGTTTTTCAATTATGATTGGTGTCATACAAGTGTTTTTTGTCTTTTCGAAAGTTTAAATCCATAGCTTGACATCAGTATGTCCAAATATCATTTAAACTAACATTCAAACTCGAACTTACTACCAATGAACAGAAATGCACGATATTATAAATAAAATCCAAACTTGATATAATGTTGCATTAAAGTCTCATTGCACTAAGCTTTGAAAGCCAAAGTGAATAAGAAAGATAAAGAAATAAGCAAGAAGAGGAAAGAAAAAGTCTTAAGATCATCTGGTGAAGATTCATGTTGATTGCCACAAAACGAGCATTATTAATGATTAAAGTACTGTAACTAATTTTTTAAACTCTACTCAACTTGTACATGGCAATGGTACATGCCTGATGCTGCTGTTGATGTGTCCAGTAATTCCTTCATGCATGATTCTCTACGATCTGTATCTATTGAGTACATCACAATGAACTCTTTCTGCCCATATGGACTACTATCAGCTTCTCATGTCTCTGAATGCTTCGTCACCTTTTATTTTACCACACGAACTTGCTTTATTTGAACAGGCAGTAGAAATAACAGAAAAGTTTACTATTTATATTCTCAATATTTGAACCACTGGCAGACGCTGAAGTGCAGAAATCCACAAAACTGTGACAGTCAGTGCTAATTTTTTTCCATTTCGATTCCTTTTCTGTCTGTTGATTTTTTCAATTCTTGAGTATATTGTTTTAATTATGATGATGATGATTATGACGACCTTATGCATCTTCTAAGAAGCTCTTGTGCACTTCAGACACTTCTTATAGTCAATTTGCTACCTGCGTCCAATACTTTGTGTCAATATTTTCGTGGTCGAATGAAAAACAACTGAAATTTCGAGAAGAAAGATAAATAAAGAAGAAAAAATGTTTAACACGTTAATTTTGCAAATATATCTTTAAGATACAGATTGATTTTTTCGAGATCATCTTATGTCTCCAGTGGCAATTGTTTAAAAAGTTTGAATTTTAATGGATTCTAAGAAATAAAGCTTGATGCATAAGCAACAGATCTTGGGTTGTGGTACAATAGATTCTGTTCTAATTTGAGTCGCAGTGCCTCCAGCTGAAAAGCTGGGCCCTTCACACATTATTATCCCCCTCTTTACTTGAACCTGATTCCAGTTTCTTAAGCTCATTTCCACTATGCCCAAAAAGATACACCAACTCACTTTTTCATTGTATATCCCGAACATCCCCACTGGACAGAATCATACAATGCAAAAAATAAACTTTCTGACGTGAATTTCCTTGGAATCATCTCAAGGAACAAACAGCAATCACCCTTAAAAAGAAGAAGCAGCAAGAAATTTTAATGCACTGCCACACAGCAACAAAATTGAAAAAAAACCAGCATAGAGAAATCCTGAGACTGTTGAAATTTGTTGTTTCATTTTTAGCAGCAACAAAAAAAGTTAAAAGAAAAATTAACAAAATGATATATGTATCCCATAGCCGAGCAACAGCAGAGAGAAGTAAAGGAGGAAAAAAAAAGTTAAAGAGGAAGAATGCATCAGCAGCGAAACATAATGCATCGTACCATCTATCCTAAGTTAGACAGTTTAATATACAGCATAAAAAGGGCAGCAAACAAATCGCGTTCACAATGCAGAAATGGATCGTTTTTGTATGTGGAGTGGATGATGAGGAAGAAGAAGGAAAGAAAAATCGTTTTCACAGAAATCATTTACAAATTAATTGATTGGGCGTTTCACATGTGAATGAGTGAGATGAAATTTTATAGTCATTTTTTTTCGTTGCTCTTATTCTTCTTGCTCGTCTTTTTTTTTGTAATTTTCATTCATTCATTTTCTACTAATCGATGCGGTTCCTTTCTATCTCAACATAAAATGTGATTTTTATACGCTTTTTTTTTGTCTTGATTCATGACATATCAAAGAGAGCATTCAGAAAGGAAATTAAATATATAAACGGAATGAAAGAATGCAATTTTGAGAACCTTCTTAGGTAGTTTGGATTATGTTTGATGCTGCTCCCTCTAAATGCCATTTATATCGTCATTTATAAAACACTCATTTAATGAAAATCGTTTTCGTTTGTTATAATTATAGTCCGCGCCATTCAACATCCTGGTGGGGAGTTTGAAGGTTCTATAAAGGAATTGTGGAGCTTGATATCGAACTTCTTGAGAATTTCCCTTTTTTTTGAAATGTCAAATATCGTTAATGAGCTATCCTAGACTTAAATATCCTGAATATTAAGTAAGGGATGGGGTAAGATCCTGTTGGGAATCAAGTAAATTTCTTCAATGGAACATCATTTGAAAAAGTAAATCTAAAGCTATTTCAGTGATCCCACTGGGTCTTTTATTTTCACCTCAGAACAACTTCTTGACTGTCTCAATTTTTGAGACAGAAAAAACGAAAAAACCTCAAGGAAATAAACCATATCAATTGTAATGTGCATTTAGTAACGTTGTATCAAATCAGACACACAAAAACCACAGCATCTGGTTGATTGACTGCTTAAAGTCTCAATTGACACCCGAAAAAATACAAAAAAAAGTCGATTATGTCTGTGCTCTTCTTCTGTTCTTGTGCATTTCTAAAATTAAATGAAAGATAAAACTTTGTCTTGATGATGATGATCAAAATTACAGGCATTTAATGAGAATTGTTCTTCTCTCCTCCTTCAATATGTGTGTTTGTGTTTATGTTGCATTATTATTTTTTTTGTGAGCTGAACATAAACAATTTTTTTTCTTCATATTTTCGTGAAGACTGAGATTCTTAGAATTAAACATAAAAAATTTTTAAAGACTTTTTCATTCGTCTGTGGATGGTCGTGATGATGAGAAATTCTATGAAATATTTTAATATTGAATGTCATTAAATAAGACATGCCAAGATTTATTTTATGATGACAATGACTTTTAAAATTTTTCTCTACCCTTTTTTCAGTTTATGTGCTTGACTTTATTAATGCTAAGTACTCTTCTTACTTGTGCCTGTTCGCTTGTGTCGACATT